ACACCCTGCTCTAGGTGACTCTAGGGTTGGACCAGATAATCTCAGGAGCTTCCTTCTAACCCCAGTGCTTCTGTGGAACCCATGTGCAATTCCCCTGAAGGCACATTAGACTAGGACACCAAACTGACGGCCTTCACAGCTACAAAGTCACTTGACATCAAACAGTAACTGAGAAATTAAATCACATGATTTTTTACAAAGAGCAGTGCAGCACAATTCTGTTCTCTATATGGCAGCAATGTGCTTCACCTTTGAAATTTTCCACAAGTCTTTCAAAAATATTAACTTTTTTCAGCTGACTGTGCTGCAAAGTGTTATTTGTAGGACTTAAACATAGCTTGATGATTTTGCAACAAAACCCTCAGTGACACTGAACTGAATTTCTGACTTTGCTACCCAGAGAAGCTGTGGATGTCCACAGCAGGGTGGGTGGAACTAGATGAGCCCATCCAGCCCAAACCACCCTGGAATTATTTGATTATGTGCCCCATCTCTGGAAACGTTCAAGACCAGGTTGGACAAGGTGTGTAGTAACCTGGTCTGGTGGGAAGATGAGCTTTAAGGTCCCTTCCAACCCGAACCATTCCATCATTTTATGATTGTATTAAGGTACTCTTCATTCTCTTTAAAAATCAAGCAATGAAAGTGCTATGCTATACTTCTATCCTCTGTGGCAGACAGGAGGCTCCAAATGCTGCCTCTGCTACACTGGTTACTGTGTTTGAACACTTGTCACTGGTGCACAGACTGAAAACAGCAGGGACGCTGCACTGGCTGCTTGTTCGCTACCTCTCTCTTCTCACTTCGATCTCCTGCAGGTACTGCTGCAGCGTCGCCTGGACCTTCCTCTGGGCAGCACGCTGCATCCATTTGTCCTCGCCACCCTTGTGCCAGTCGCAGACGTTGCGGTAGCGGCGGAACACCCGCAGGGCACGTTCTTGCTCACGCTGCTCCTCTTCCACCAGCCTCGCAGACAAAATCGCCTCTTCAATGAGGTCTCTCTTGGGGGGCTTGGCTAGCTGAGAGAGAAAGGAAATGGAGAGAGTGGAGACCTCGCAGCAGCCTTCCATGATGTGAAGGGGCCTACAGTGAATCCAGAGAGTGAGTTTTCATCAGAAACTGCAGTGACAGGACCAGGGAAATGGGTACAGAGTGAAAGAGGAAAAATTTAGGCTGGGTGTAGGAAGGAATTCTTTGTGAAGGTTGTGAAGCACCTGCACAAGTTTCCCAGCTGAGGCTGCCCCATCCCTGGAAGTGTCCCAGGCCAGGCTGGATGGGGCTTGGAGCAACCTGGGGCAGTGGAAGGTGTCCATGCCCATGGCAGGGGATGGCACTGGATGAGACTTAAGGTCCTTTCCAATGCAAATCATTCATGGGTGAAAATACAAACTATTAGACTGCGTGTTTTTCAGTTGAATTAGTGACTGTGCAAGTATCTAACACCAAATGATGAGTTCACTGTAATTATGGGGTAATCACAGAATCACTGAGGCTGGAAAAGAGCTCCAAGATCATCATGCTCCAGCTGTGCTTGATCCCCACCTTGTCACCCAACCCAGAGCACTCAGTGCCATGTCCCATCGTTCCTGGGACACCTCCAGGGATCGGGACTCCCAACACCTCCCTAGGCAGCCCCTCCCAAGGCCTGAATGTCCTTTCTGTGATGAAATTGCTCCTAAATTAGACAAGACATGCCTACACCCACACCTCACACAGCACTGGGCTCTTCAGGACCCCAAACACAGCACCAGGCTCCCCGGGACCCCTCACAAAGCACCAGGATCCACAAGACCCCGAACACAGCACCAGGCTCCCTGGGACCCCAAACACAGCACCAGGCTCCATGAGACCCCCAAATACAGCACTGGGCTCTTCAGGACCCTTCACACAGCACCAGGCTCCCTGGGATCNTGGGACCCCAAACACAGCACCAGGCTCCATGAGACCCCCAAATACAGCACTGGGCTCTTCAGGACCCTTCACACAGCACCAGGCTCCCTGGGATCTTCAAACACAGCACCAGGCTCCTCAGGACCCCAAACACAGCACTGGGCTCCCCAGGACCCCTCACACAGCACCAGGCTCCATGAGACCCCAACATACAGCACCAGGCTCCTCAGGACCTTCAAACACAGCACCAGGCTCCCTGGGACCCCAAACACAGCAGCAGGCTCTTCAGGACCCCCAAACACAGCACCAGGCTCCCTGGGATCTTCAAACACAGCACCAGGCTCCCCTGGACCCCAAACACAGCACTGGTCTCCTCAGGACCCCCAAACACAGAACTGGGCTCCCCTGGACCCCAAACACAGCACCAGGCTCCATGAGACCCCCAAATACAGCACTAGGCTCCCTGGGACCCCCAAACAAAGCACCAGGCTCCCCGCGACCCTAAACACAGCACCAGGCTCCCCAGGACCTTCAAACACAGCACCAGGCTCCCTGGGACCCCAAACACAGCACCAGGCTCCCCGCGACCCCCAAACAAAGCACCAGGCTCCCCGGGACCCCCAAACACAGCACCGGGCTCCTTGGGACCCCAAACACAGCACCAGGCTCCATGAGACCCCCAAATACAGCACTGGGCTCTTCAGGACCCTTCACACAGCACCAGGCTCCCTGGGATC